GACTCGCCTCGGCCTGGTCGGCCGATTCGGTTTAGAAAAAATGTATTATATAAGCAAAAGCAAATAAAAACGCTTATCTTGTTATATGTAAATCGACGGGGAGGACGGGCTCTCGGGGCCCCGGCGCATTACGAGGCGGCGTGTCTTCTCTCGTTGCAAGCGCGTACACGCGGTTTCTCTTCCCGGCCTGTTCTCGACGGGCTTCCACGGACTATGCCTCCCGGCAACCTATCCACCTAGCTGATACTTACGACGTTCTTCTTATTAGGCATTTATATGTAATAGAGAAGACGGCCATCTTTGCCGTAGGCGGCACCGGCCAATGGAAGACCGTGCTCGACACCGACCACCGAAGACAATGCACGCGTTTATCATGCGTTAAGCGTATGCAACGCTTGATCTACCGACAAACCAAACCGCCAATCTTTCGGTACATTTCCCGACACTTGGATGTCATCTTTCGGAACATTTACAATATATACAAAATTCAACAATTTCAGCTTCCATATCATTGATAGCCAATTACCTTGCGTAATACATTATGTCGAAACTATAATAGCGATTTGATAACTGTGATTAGATTTTAAACCGAACGTGGCAATAAGTGTTCAGGTTGCGTAATCCTAATCTAACCATACTAAGCACAATACCACCCAGTCGGCTGTCAGCACCTCGTCAGCTTTTCACGTTTCACTCTCAGAACAGGTACACCGCAATGAGAAGCCATGATGCAACATGGCAATTTTGTGGGAAAATCGCGAGGCAAGAAGAACCGACAAAGAGGAGTATCAGCCCACTCGGTTCTCATAGGGTTCTCCAGAATTTTCTCCGCAGTACCGTGGCACGGAACCCGGTAACACAATGCCTCCACGAGATGACTAGACTCTCTTTAACGCGGGGACCAAAAGGGCGACGAGAGGGGGCGAAGGAGCTCGAAGGACAGCAGCTATAATGCCGGACTGGTTAGAATTTGATCCGCCGGGAGTCGAGTCGAACCGGCCGACAATGCTCACCGAAGAAAAGAAACGGGGGTCCTCCTTCTCCTTCTCTCTTTCTCTCCCTCTCACGTTCGCAAGATCGCCGAAAGGAGTCCACTCTTGCTGGAAGTGTTCACCTACACCGAGACGAGGCTCCCCCAACGCGCGGGAACACGGATATCGAGTCATTTTTTAGCGCTCGTACGTGCTCCTTCGACCCATACACCTGCTTCCTTTGCAAAAATCATTTTTCCAATGGCGCTCGTCGAACGATAAGGTGACTATCTGAAACGTTGATACCGACACCGATGCGTTCCCAAAACCTCTCCAGTGTTCGGCTCATGATCTAGAACATGATACGATGCACCGCGGACGCAAGTTTTTGCCATCTATCGGACCCTTTGAATCCAGTCATCCTACACCGCAGACGATCATCTCGACCGAGCTGACACTGGATACAACGGGCCCTCTTCGACTTCTAGATTCTCCTTGGGTTCAGAATCACCTGGATATCAGAATGTAGGACACACGAGGACGAACTTGTCGAAAGCAGGAAGAAGAACATGAATTGTGGTCGCCGAAGGTGAACCTGAATACGCTGAGGGAGTATCAAAAGATGACAAAGATGAAGATACATGACAAAGATGAAGATGTATGACAAAGATGAAGATACGACGCATAAAGAAGTATGACAAAGCTGCTAAAAAAGTATGGTAAAGATTATGAAGGTGAATGAATATAAAAACTAAACAATTTGGAGTAGCTTCAAATCCTTGATTCTAGCTTTAAAATACATGAAGAGCAGTTTCTAGGAAAAAGACTGAAATCACACTTAATTAAACACAAATCCTCATTTAAAATTCTCCGTTATAAGATTGGCTGCATATCGATTACAGTTCGAAACATATGAAGAACAGGTTCTAAGAAGACTAAAAAGTGTGAATAATTTTAAGCTTGATTGAAACCTTTTTCTGAAGGAGTAGATGAGTATCTAACATGGTCGTACCGGACATATAAGTCGAAGCAATAAGAACAAGTTTAGTTCCAAAAAGGACTATGACAGGATCAAGATGCATTATCAGTCTGATATCAAATGCTAGAATAAATGAAGAAACGTTTTTATGAGCAGTAAAAGCAAGAAGAGTATATGAGAAATTAAACAACGTGTTTGTAAATAAAAAGAATTGTAAAGATGGAAGCAATCGAGTGCAGATACATCGGTATCCTTTCACCGTTCGCACGGTTGACACAGTATCCCGTTGTCCTAGAGGTAAGGATACGCTAGAGCTAGAACGGCACTTCGTATCTAATTCATCCAAGCGGGGACTTCTCGGATTTTCTGATACGAGGAACGTCAGCGCGGGTGTAGGGTACGGAAAATATCGAGTGTCTCAAAGGATCGCCGTTTCCTCGTCTCGATTGCGTCCCTTCTCCACAACGGAGAAAGCTTCCCATCCCACTAAATCGCGACCTTATTTTAATTTCCGCGATCGTCAATTTTCTACCGAACTGACCCGAAATAAAAGGAGCACGCTCGCGACCGAAGCGGAGTATCGCTTTCATCGCGTCCCCGTGAATGCTTCTCGTGTTCCTCCGTACACGCGACACCGGAGGCAACGCCATTACCGGAAGGAGCCTCTGCTGCATAAGCGCCAGAGATACTCGATGACCGCTTCGTACCGACTATGTAACTCGAGATTATTCCCATTTTATGGCCGATTTAACAAGCTCCGCGATGGGGGTGCAGATATTGCTCGACAACGCTGCAGATATTACCACCTATCGAGGAATTTAGTTCCGCTGAAAAATACCTCCTTAATTGGGTAAATTGGTAGTGAGCAAGAATATTCATAATTATGTAGGGATTCATGATCAAAGAGCAGTGATTGTAGATGTGGACTGAGGAGGTCCAGAAAGTGGATCAACCTAACCTTAAGAGAACTCTAACATTTACATCGTAGCTTCTAGATATCTTCCAACACATAAAACATAGGTATGTCATAGGCTACCACAGGTTCTCAGCTTCCTATAAGTCCTAGGCTGCCACAGGTTTTGTACTCTCTTCAGCTATCTTTGTAAAATGAAAGGCCGTGCAATCTGAGCGAATTAGAAGAAAATGGCGAACGGATGTCGTAGGTAAATTGTTGGCGCGTTTTCTGCGGTTCAGAGAATTGCAGTTCGTGTCCAGCGCTACCGGGCAACGCGGAGGAAGCGTGTCGTCGAGGAGTATCGCCGCGGGGCTCTCCACTTGGAACGAGTTTCTCGATTCAAAGACTTCTTAAACGGCTTGTCCCCTCTTCCTTTCTCCGTCTGTTTCCTCCTCCCCCTCGATCGGATATTATACCATC